ATGGAGCATAAAGCTAAGACTATTTCTAACTCATTTCTGTTTTTCTCTTTACAAATATTTTTATATCATTATAGAGAGATTTTGTTATAATGTATGCATTTTTAATGGAGTTTCCATATTTTAAAGAGAAATATAAAAAAAAAGTTATATATTTTCTAAATGTAGGTATTCTATTTAATATAGAAACTCTATTTTGACATAGAAATTATGTTTTAAATGCATACACTAGAGCAATTTTTATAACAGATATTTTTTCTTCTATTTTAAAGGGTAAAATATAAAAGTGGAGTAGAAATTACTTTAAGAAAAAACGGGAATAACACATAATCATAATTATGACATCCACTCAGTCAATGATTACGAGGAATGGAACCGTGGTTGTGGGCCTTGTGGCCTGTGGGATACACCATGGACAAACAAAGAATACGATCTGTTGGAATTTATGAATGTTTATGAATTTTTTACTCTCACAGACACTTTTTCACTTTGTTATTACATCAGAAGCCACTTTCTACTTGTGACATACTTTATAGTGTTTGAAAGACAACAATGCCCTCTAACTAAAGAAAGAATCAACTTCTTTTGCAACCAAGACATTACGGAAAGTGGATCTACTTTTTCACAATCTCTCTTCTTTCTTCTCATTTTACTATTTAATTTGAAAACTCTAATTTCTTTTCTTATTTTCTCTTTGCTGGAATCAAAATATCTCGCTCATTTCTTTTTTTTTGTGGCTATCTTATGGTTCATTCTCATCGGAAAGGCACCACTTTTCTCGTTTTCGAAATGAGAGGTAGTGTTCATCTTTATCTCTCTCAAAAACCCTTTCTCAAGATGGACGTTTTGGCTTAGATCCGGAAGTAAACATGTTTTTTTTTAAGATTTGTTGTTCCATAGATTCTGAGTTTCTTTCGATCAAAAATTTCATTTATTTTTAGATTTTTCTTTTTCTTTTTCTCTGCAGAAAAAGACAACTTCACTATTAAAGTAGGAATGTGAAGACATTATTGGAAGGTTGGGGGGGGGGACAAAGGAAAGATGTTTACTCTAGGCGAAGCTGGATTAGTTGAAGAAAGGTATTTTGGTTGGAGAGTTGTATTCAGGTGAGTTGTGGATGAACGAGTTGTGGTTAGATAAGTTGTGGATGGGGAAGATGGGTAAAGGAAATATGTGGAGTGGTGGAATGTGTAGAGAAAACATGTGTACAGGGGAATTGTATTCAACCTAATGTTGTATGGCGTATTAGCTGACTACAAGGGAGTGTGATGGATTTGCATCTTCATCCATAGGGGTCAGAAGCTGGAGCAGATGGAGCAAAAGTGCTAAATTGGGAAAGTGACTATCTTTATGAGTCACGCCATGGATTCACAAGTCGTTAATCACAATTTGTTGTCCACAACTCCAATCCACAACTAGCCATCTACAAGTTGTGATCCACAACTCGCCAACCATAAAAATATTCAAATTTTTTTTGGGATTGTGTGGCTATTAATAAAACAGAATAGTGAAGACACCAAATCTAGTAAAAGCATAAAAATATAACTAAACTAACCAAATCACCTAACGAAATCTAGTATCTGTTTGCTTCAATAAGGGCATTTGTGTCAATAATTTCTCTTGGTCCAAGGAAAAGTGTGTTGCAAGTGGGATGTGGCCCTGAATGCAAACAAAACTCAAAAAGTGGCTTAATATGTAATCCACTCAATGTTTATCTCATGTTAACAGAGTATTCAATTAATTTGTAACTGAATTTTTTTCAATCTTACCACAGAAACTCACCACTCAACTAACTGGTGGTTGAATTCTCTTACGCAGCTTATACTATAACTAAGATTCTTTGATAGTAAACTGGCTATGTATGGCAAATAATCTCTAGTTTGAATTTATTCTTCTGTAGTAACACAATACTTTGAGTTTGTGTACTTAATCTGAAGAGGATTTCGAATCATTAAGCTAGAGTTTTTTGAAAAAAAAAAATCAGTAAGCTAAAGTTTAAAAGAAGGAGATTAAGAAGAATTTGAGTGGGTTTTACAAGTATTAGACGCCTTAAGAGAGATAAAGTTAAGGCATCTACTAAACCATAATGCTTTACTTTTTACATTATGAATATTGTTTAGACACAAGAAAGAGAGAGAGCACACATAAATTAGAGAAGAATCTTGTATTTTTGATTCTTGTAAGTGTTACAAGAGGTGGTGAAGGTTTTTAAATAGACAATCACTAGTAATAAATAATTACTAAATCAGGGGATGACTAAACAACTAATATAATAAGAAATGGAAGAGGCCAGGAGGATATGAACAAGGGGAGGCACGATCAGATGAGGAGAAAGGGACAAGAGAAAGGTTGGCACAATATGTTTGAGAGAAAATGACAAGTCCAGCTGCTTCTCTAAAGATTTTTTCTTGTCTAATTCAAACCAGCTCTCTTTAAATTCAAACATGTTTCTTTGACTTCTTAGAGGTTCTCAACGTCCATATTCAGTCTCCCAAACTCCTTTCTCACCTTGCAAGGTAAGTTAGGTCAAAATGGTAGTTTGTGGGATAAAATTGTACAAATAAGTCCAAATCATTTCTCTTGATGCACTTGTATTTGATCATGGATTAACTCCTTCCCTCTAGTTATTCTCTTCTTCATTTCAACACGATGAACTTAGAATAGGGATTAGAAAAAAAATCCATGCTCAATCAGGTAAAAACATTGTATCACCTTAACATGACATTTTTTCTTGCCTACATCATACTTTACCTTGCCCCTTCCCTATCATGATAAATAGTTCAAGTGATGCATATACCCATAGGTTTAAACACTAATGTGAGCGATTAGAAGACAAATCCATCCTTAATCAGATAACTACATTAATCACCTTAATAAGACAATTATTCTTGTCTACATCTTACTTTACCTTGCCCCTTCACTATCATAATAAATAGTTCAAACTCGCTTAAACGTGAAATATATAGTTTTTGCAAGACAATCGAAAACAATTTGAGTTTACAGACCAATAAAATTTACGTAAAAATAAATGTATAGTTATCTAATAAATATTATCTTTCAACAACACAAATAATTTGAATCACACGGTTACTAAAAGTAACCAAGATTTAAAGTACATAGGCATATGGATAAACAGAAATGCAAAGAGATAAAAAAAAAAAACAAATACATAATTTGGTTCACCCAGACCCGGTCGATTTAAAACCAAAAATCGATTTATCTAATATCAACAATATGTCATTTCATATTTCTCTAATATTTTATATAATATAATTCACATTAAACTTTATAAACAAATTCAGTTCAATTAATGATTGGTAAATACAAGTTTTCTCAAATTAACTGCATCGCAATAGTAGTCAATGCTTTCATACATATTTCAGTGTTGTCAATCATAATCTTATATATAATAGTACATTTTTAAGGTTTTTCAAGGTATCTACGTCAGCATTTTGTGGGCTCCGCATGTTTAATTTTTAAAAGCCTATAGTTTTCTAAAATGACTATGAACAATGAATACACTTTAGCCGAGTGGTATAAGACATTTAATTAAGTCTGCAAGCATGTGGGTTCAAACCATGTAGCTATTATATTTTTTTTTTTTTTGTTTGGATTATTATCTTATAAACTTTTTGGTTTTAATGTTTTTAATGTTTTTATGCTTTTTTTTCCTTTGGGCTTATTGTTTAAAGTCCAAAATAGTGGAAAATGCTAAAGTTTAACGAACTCAAACCCAAAAACAATTAAAAAGAGAACAAAAAACGAAAGCCCAAAAATAAAAAAATAAAAACAAAAAACAAAACAAGTCTCACGTGGCACTATCATGTCCTAATATATGTTTTCTATTAAACATATTTCCTAATATATATTTTCAAAAAAAAATGTATGTGAAATAAAATAAAAAAACAACAAAATTTAAGTATTTTTCATTATTTATAAAATGAATATGTAACTTCTCTTACATTTTGAATAGTTACTTTAATTTCATTTTTATCACACTCCAGCGAACGGATTCCCATAGTCGATGACGTCGTAAATAAAAATGCCACATTATTCATGAACAAAATCCAAACTTACAAAAAAAAACATATATAAACCTATCTAATGAAACCCAAACAACAAATATTAGCTTAAATTAAAGTTATTTTCAAATCGATAAATCGTTTAATAGAAATATAAATACTATAAATAAATAATTATATCAAGTTTTGTCCTCCGATATAAAAACTACTTACAGCATAAGAAAATAAAAAACAAGATAGACACCTATTTTTACACACTAGAAACTATATTATAGTTTAATTATTCCTATAAACTTTACTTCGCATATAAATAACATTTAACACTTTATATATACAATATTTTCACTTTACACTCTTGCTACATTCTTTCTATTTCATCATTATTTGGTATTATTAGAAGAACCCACTAAACTAACAACCGAGAAAAACTTAGGCAAACATCAAGGATCCCGGCACCGCGCTGGCGCGGGTGTATGCAACTAATTAGTAAAGTAATTTATTAATACAAATTTCACATCATAAAAATAATTTTTATTTAACAAAACATTATTTAATAAACTGATTAGTAAAATTTCTATAAATAAGGATAAAATATTATTACTCTTATCAAAAGCATTATAAATTGTATTTACATATAAACACTAACAAATTTTTAAATATGAAAACACTAAATAAAAATATGCCTCTAAGATTATATGTCCTAAGTGGTCGCTAGGTGGTTTGTCATCGAACCGGCCCTGGTTATGCTTAACGATTTATATATCTTCGAAAAAAATCAATGAAAAGTAGTGAAGAATATATGGAGTTTGAAGAACAATACATAGACATATTCATAATCACATTTAAGTAAATGATCAAATAGCATTAAACAGAAAACATGCGCTTTACAACAAATATAAGTAAACTTTTAATGATACAATACAATCAATGATTAAAGACTTTGGTCTTTGTTAGTTCTTGAGTGTGGTCTTCAGAATTTTTCTAGCTGATTCCATGCAAACTGTCCCAGGAGCAGTTAATGTTATTATTATTATTATTTTGTTCGTTTGTTTCGGCGTCCCTAGAGTCAGCCGGAAATAGTGAATTCAACTGATGAACATCAAGAACAAGATTGTCGTCAGTAACAGCAGATGATCGTCCATTAGAGATCTCTCCACTATCACTTCCCCAGTCAAGAAGCTTAGCTATATCATCTTGCATTGTATTCATTTGAAGGGATTCTTCTTCCTTTGGTTTCAAATCTGCATTTCAATAATAAAAATATTTAACAAAAGATAAGTGTAGATGAAGTTTGTAGCGTTTTGACCGGTTTAGTTACCTTGTAAAGAACATATGTTTTCAGAAGAATCATATTGTTCAAAACTAACTGAGAAGAAATTATCATTGTCGTTGTTATTGTTGTTGTGGTGGTTAGGAGGAGAAGCAGTGAGTTGTCTTCATTTCGAAGGTCGGTCTCCGCCTCCACCAGCTAGAGCCTCGGCCTCTTCGAGGACATCCTCCAAGAGGCTGCAGCTAATACTTTTTCTGTGAAGATTGGTATTGTTATGTTTCTCATTGTCCGTGAAATTGTTGACATTACTAAAAACACTTAGCTGGGGGATTTGGTTTGCAGGGAGTTCTTGTTTCATGGAGTAAATCNTATTGTTATGTTTCTCATTGTCCGTGAAATTGTTGACATTACTAAAAACACTTAGCTGGGGGATTTGGTTTGCAGGGAGTTCTTGTTTCATGGAGTAAATCTGGTTGTTGTGAAAGGAGGTGGAAGAATAATGAGGAGTGTAATGAGAGTGAAGAAAGCTTGGGGAAGAAGTTGGTGTAGGGTAAGAAGAAGGTGAATGTTTTTTTTTTTTTTTGAACAACAGCAAAGGGTGAATGGTTTAAGGAACTAGAAGAGGCCAGGAGGATATGAACAAGGGGAGGCACGATCAGATGAGGAGAAAGGGACAAGAGAGAGGTTGGCACAACCTGCTTGAGTGAAAATGACAAGTCCAGCTGCTCTCTAAAGAAACCCATGTGATTTCTTCTTGTCTAATTCAAACCAGCTCTCTTTAAATCCAAACATTTTTCCTTGACTTCTTAGAGGTTCCCAACGTCCATATTCAGTCTCCCAAACTCCTTTCTTGTCTTGCAAGGTAAGTTAGGTTAAGATGGTAGTTTGTGGAATATAATTGTACAAATAAGTTCAAATCAATTCTCTTGATGCACTTGTATTAATCTTGGATAAACTCCTTCCCTCTAGTTATTCTCTTCTTCACTTCAACACGATGAACTTAGAATAGGGATTAGAAGATAAATCCATCCTCAATCAGGTAAAAACATTGTATCACCTTAACATGACAATTTTTCTTGTCTACATCACTTTACCTTGCCCCCTTCCCTATCATGATAAATAGTTCAAGATAATGCTATACAAATAGGTTTAAACACTAATGGGAGGGATTAGAAGACAAATCCATCCTTAATCAGATAACTACATTGTATCACCTTAATAAGACAATTATTCTTGTGTACATCTTACTTTACCTTGCCCCTTCAATATCATAATAAATAGTTCAAACTCGCTTAAACGTGAAATATATAGTTTTTGCAAGACAATCGAAAACAATTTGAGTTTACAGACCAATAAAATTTACCTAAAAATAAATGTATAGTTATCTAATAAATATTCTCTTTCAACAACACAAATAATTTGAATCACACAACACAAATAATTTACATAGGCATATGGAAATATAGAAATGCAAAGAGATAAAAAAAAACCAAATACATAATTTGGTTCATCCAAACCCGGTCGATTTAAAACCAAAAATCAATTTATCTAATATCAACAATATGTCATTTCATATTTCTCTAATATTGTATATAGTATAAATTACATTAAACTTTATAAACAAATTCAGTTCAATTAATGATTGGTAAATACAAGTTTTCTCAAATTAACTGCATCCCAATAGTAGTCAATGCTTTCATAAATATTTCAGTGTTGTCAATCATAACCTTATATATAATAGTACACTTTTTAAGGCATCTCAAGGTGTCCACGTCATTATTTTGTGGGTCTCGTACGTTTAATTTTTAAAAGCCTATAGTTTTCTAAAATAACTATAAACAATGAATACACTTTAGCCGAGTAGTATAAGGCATCTAATTAAGTGTTCAAGCGTGTGGGTTCAAACCATATGGGTTCCCATAGTTGATGACGCCGTAAATAAAAATGCCACTTTATTCATGAAAAAAAATCTAAACTTACAAAAAAAAACATATACAAACCTATCTAATGAAACCCAAACAACAAATGTTAGCTTAAATTAAAATTATTTTAAAATTGATAAATCGTTTAATACAAATATAAATACTATAATCAAGTTTTGACCTCCGATATAAAAACTATTTACAGCATAAAAAAATAAAAAACAAGATAGACACCTATTTTTACACATTAGAAACTATATTATAGTTTAATTATTCCTATAAAATTTACTTCGCATATAAATAACATTTAACACTTTATATATACAATATTTTCACTTTACACTCTTGCTACATTCTTTCCATTTCATCATTATTTGGTATTATTAGAAGAACCCACTAAACCAATAACCAAAAAAAACTTAGGCAAACATCAATGATCCCGGCACCGCGCTTGCACGGGGTGTATGCAACTAGTTAGTAAAGTAATTTATTAATACAAATTTCACATCTTAAAAATAATTGTTATTTAATAAATTGATTAGTAAAATTTCTATAAATAAGGATAAAATTCTTATCAATATCATTACTGTTATCAAAAGAATTAAAAATTTTATTTACATATAAACACTAACAAATGTTTATATATGAAGACACTAAATAAAAATATGCCTCTAAGATTATATGTCCTAAGTGGTCGCTAGGTGGTTTGTCATCGAACCGGCCCTGGTTATGCTTAACGATTTATATATCTTGGCAAAAAATCAATGAAAAGTAGTGAAGAATATATGGAGTTTGAAGAACAATACATAGACATATTCATAATCACATTTAAGTAAATGATCAAATAGCATTAAACAGAAAACATGCGCTTTACAACAAATACAAGTAAACTTTTAATGATACAATACAATCAATGATTAAAGACTTTGGTCTTTGTTAGTTCTTGAATGTGTTCTTCAGAATTTTTCTAGCTGATTCCATGCAAACTGTCCCAGGAGCAGTTAATGTTATTATTATTATTTTGTTCGTTTGTTTCGGCGTCCCTAGAGTCAGCTGGAAAAAGTGAATTCAACTGATGAACATCAAGAACAAGATTGTCGTCAGTAACAGCAGATGATTGTCCATTAGAGATCTCTCCACTATCACTTCCCCAGTCAAGAAGCTTAGCTATATCATCTTGCATTGTATTCATTTGAAGGGATTCTTCTTCCTTTGGTTTCAAATCTGCATTTCAATAATAATTTTTTTTAACAAAAGATAAGTGTAAATGAAGTTTGTAGCGTTTTGACCGGTTTAGTTTACCTTGTAAAGAACATATGTTTTCAGAAGAATCATATTGTTCAAAACTAACTGAGAAGAAATTATCATTGTCGTTGTTATTGTTGTTGTGGTGGTTAGGAGGAGAAGCAGTGAGTTGTCTTCGTTTCGAAGGTCGGTCTCCGCCTCCACCAGCTAGAGCCTCGGCCTCTTCGAGGACATCCTCCAAGAGGCTGCAGCTAATACTTTTTCTGTGAAGATTGGTATTGTTATGTTTCTCATTGTCCGTGAAATTGTTGACATTACTAAAAACACTTAGCTGGGGGATTTGGTTTGCAGGGAGTTCTTGTTTCATGGAGTAAATCNTATTGTTATGTTTCTCATTGTCCGTGAAATTGTTGACATTACTAAAAACACTTAGCTGGGGGATTTGGTTTGCAGGGAGTTCTTGTTTCATGGAGTAAATCTGGTTGTTGTGAAAGGAGGTGGAAGAATAATGAGGAGTGTAATGAGAGTGAAGAAAGCTTGGGGAAGAAGTTGGTGTAGGGTAAGAAGAAGGTGAATGGTTTAAAGAGAATGAAGAATTGTTGTTAGTGTTATGGTAAGTAGCATTTTGAGCGGTAGGAGTAGTAGGGGAAGAGTAAGGTGGTGTTAGAAATGAAGTGTAAGAGTCTCTTGAAACAGGTGAAAATGGTGCGGTTGAAACGCGGTTAATGCAATTGAGAGGAGTGTTGGAATTGTTGTAGCGCTTGGCAAGGAGTGATGAAGGCGGTTGGAGGAGAGGTGGGGGTCTAGGGAAAGTGAAACTCATGTAATTGTTATTGTTGTTAATTTGGGAAGGTGGTAAGGTGAAGAGAGGAAGAGTTGGATATTGATTGTTTCGAGGAGAAGATAAAGGAGACGATAATGGTGGTGGAGGTGGTGTAGAAGAGAGTTGAGAAGGAGTTTGTGGTGTGGTTGGAGTGTGAGGGCTTAAAGGATGGAGGAGATAAGCGGTTGATGCGTTTGTGGTGTGGAAAGTAAAAGATGAGGAGGGATTTGCGTTTAATGGTGTTGGAGATGGAAGAGGAGAAGATGATGGTGTATTTGGTTGTGAAGATTGTTGTTGAAAATACATTTGTTGATGTTGATGCTGCTCATGATGATAGTTTTGTTGCTGATGATGATGTGGATGTGGATGGAGTTGATGGTTAGGGATGATATCTGGAGGATAAAGAGGAAGTCCTTGGCGCTGAAGGCGTTTCAACCTCGTGTTCCAATAGTTCTTGATCTCATTATCTGTTCTTCCCGGTAACTTTAACAAAATTTGCAAAAAAATACATTAGTTTATATTTCTATTTTCGTATAGGTTGAATAATAACAACTAGTTTCTAAATATAGAGATTAGTTGTTTGTACCTGAGCGGCCATGCGAGCCCATTTGTTACCGAGCTGAGCATGAAGTTGGATGATGAGACGTTCTTCATCTCCTGTGAAAGAACCTTTTCTGAGATTAGGTCGGAGGTGATTGGCCCAACGGAGACGACAACTTTTGCCGCAACGAGCTAAGCCAGTGTTTTTCTGAACAGCGTTCCAGTTTCCTTCACCATTCTCTCTAACGTACGCAGAAAGTATTTCATCTTCGGCCGCCGTCCATGGCCCTTTCTTCAGTAGCACTCCTCCATTTGACATGTGATTAATCAATCCACCTTCCTTCTCTCTTTCTTCTCCGTACATGATCAAATTTTTCACTATGTGTTCTCCTTTCAGATT